AATTAAAATGTCCCAAAAGCGTTATGTTACTGCACTTATTTATTCAACCATAAAAATTTACTTATTTATTTTTTTATTTCTCTGTTAGCGTAGTAGAACCTGTATCTTATGCTGTACCGATGCCCACATTGGAATTTGCTATGCTGTGTCTTCGTAATGCGTACAATTTATTACCATCTGATACTGCAGCATCGCCAGTACCTCTCCTTCTTATACCAGGAGTGACTCCCCCTGCTCCCCCTCTGACACCTGGTCCAGCTCCTTCATCGTCACTTTCGCAAAGTAGCGTTGCCTCTCTAAAGAACTCTATACTAGCTGCCAGCGCCTATGTTGCCGTCAGTCTAGGGGATTACGTTCTGGCATTAGAGCATGCGCAAAACCTACTTAGCCAACCGAAGATTTCTGGAGTTCATATGTGAGTAGGTTTTTGATATTAAAAAAAAAATATTTTTCTCCTTAGTTTGCTTAATAGGTTTTGATTAATTTTTTTGTTAACTTATTGCAGACTATTGGGTCATCTTTATGCTGCTGAAGCATTGCTTCTTATGGACAAGATAACAGAAGCATTAGAACACTTGAATCCAGAAAATATTAAGGACATATCATTGGAATTCCCAGAAGATTCTGAAGAAGAAACGATGAAAAATAATCCACCAACAAGTGTGTAAATGAATAATAATATAATTAATTAATTTGGTATATAACTTTATCTAAAATAAATGTGAAGAATTTCGCTCATTTTTATTCAAATATCTAGTATATACATAACAAATGTATCGGCATTCTTTCTTCATTAAATAGAGGTGCAGGGGGCGAGAAGGTTCACGTAGGAAGACACCGGGAATTTAGTTTTTGTTTATTATTAATTATTGTTTTTGCTTTCTTGTATAAGGGTTTATGTATTATTTTATTTTATTACAGATTGGTTTCCTAGGAATATGGAAAGTATTCAAAGTGTGTTACAGTATAACATTGCTGTCTGTAAAACAGTGAGGGGTCAACTGGACCAGGCGTCGACTTTGCTGAAGAAGGTTTGGCAAGGTCAAGGACCAAATTGTCGAGTTCCCGCCCACATAATTATGCTCGTTCTCTACATAGAACTGCAGTTGGGTAAGTCCCTAATTCTATTTATTTGTATTTGGCGTTTGAAGATTGTTTTGCGGATTTAGAGGCTTTTCTTACGTTTAGCTACATACTAGGTGTCGCATGTGTAAAGATAATTTACATATTAAAAAATTTGGTGGCTTTGTTTTTGTCACAAACAAAAATTATTATATAGGACATGCGGACGTAGCCAGGACTCTTGTCAAACAGTACTGTTTCCAGTACAAAATCAACAGTTGACCTGAAATATTTTTGATGGATTTTAAAGACGACGACTGACCATAAAAAATTAATCTTTTATTTAATCGTATTATTAGCAAAGTTTAAAATGTTTTTTGTTATTAAACGAAAGTGAATATTAAAGCGCTTTAAGTATGAGGAAGCAAATTGAATGTAGAATTTTTTAACAAATATAATAAACGATAACAGAAGCCTAGAATATCGTAATACATTTTTAATACCTCATATTTAGATCCTCTCCTACAT